TGTCATTTGTGAGTGTTGTATCTTTGAGTATGTGTTTTCTGTAGTTTTTAGTATTTATGACCTGATCCTGTATGGCAATCATGAATCCTTCCGTCTCCCCAAAGAGACATCCCCGATCTAACCAGCTGTTTGACGCAGTTTTGTCAAGAAAATCCTGGGGCAGGTCATAAGGATGCCTGCCATGGAGTGCCTTTTGAGCCCAGGATTGCTTGATGGTGTCTGTGCTTTTTATATGTTGTGTTATGTCTGTATGATGTGAGTGTAAGTTAATGGTGTGTTATTTGAGTCTGCTAGAGTTACTGCTTTATGTAACTGTGATGTTTCCCATTTCTTATAGAAAAACTCTCGCAGTGACTGTATTTGTTTGTAGTGAAGGTTTATAATGTCAATCAGACCCCGTCCGCCAACTTTACGTGGAAGGGTTAATCTTTCTATGGCAGATTTACTTGTAGTAGATGTTGTTTATGCTTAGTAAGTGTTGTTCTTGTTTTCCTTTGGAGTTGCTCAAGATCTGTGTGAGTCCAATGTATAACTCCAAAAGAGTATGTGAGTACTGGGATGACATATGTGTTTATTGCTTTAACTGTGTGTTTTGCATTTAACTGTGTTCTGAGTATAGCGTTTAACCTACTTTGGTATTCTTTAATTAATCTTTGCTTTATTTGTGTATGTTCTGTTAGTTTGGCCTGTTGGAATCCTAAATACTTGTAGAACTCGCCCTCTTCCATGGATTCAATAACGTCTCCATTTCCAAGTGCAAAATCTTCTTTCTTCAGGATTCCTTTTTCTATGTGAAGTTTTTTGCATTTGTCTAAGCCAAACTCCATTTGTATGTCCTTAGTGTATGAATGTGTGATTTGTAGGAGTTGATGAAGTTGTTTTTGTGTGGATGCATAAAGTTTTATGTCGTCCATGTACATGAGATGTGACAGTGTAAACTGTGTTGTTTTTTCATGTCTGATATTGTAGCCATAATGCGTGTTGTTTAACATGTTGGATAATGGATTCAGGGCTAGGCAGAACCAGAGAGGACTCAAGGAATCTCCTTGAAAAATTCCTCGCCTAATGAATATTTCGTTTGTTTGTATGGAAGTGTTACTAACCCTGAGATGTAGTGTTGTTCTCCAGTGCTGCATAGTGTTTTCGAAGAATGCAATGAGTGATGGATGTATTTTGTACATGTGTAGAATATGTAGTAGCCAACTGTGTGGAACACTGTCGAATGCTTTTCTGTAGTCTATATATGCCATGTGTATGTTTCTGTGTTGTTTGTGTGCTAGTAACGCCCCGTTTACAAGAAAAAGGGGTTACACAATGTCAAGGTTCAAGTACCAGGCCTGGACTTTTAAAATCAAAAACAATAATAATTTCAACAACTACATATATATAACAGTTTACAATAAATATAAGTTTTTATTATAGTGAAATAAGAAAAAACAATAATGGGTTAATTATACCAACAGTTAACTAATTCAATATTCGACCAATTTACAAACTAGCAACAAGAATCGATAATCAATCAAAAGAAAAACGTACATATAATATCAAATCCAAAATGTCATCTCCACCTCAAAAAAGAGACATATATAAAAGTATACAGCTTACGCTAATTGTTGCTCACAGACGTGTCTACACCCTTCGTCATCTGGATCTACCTCACTCGGCTGTATTGGATGTGCCATCTTTTATCCAATGTTCAGTGCAGCTCAGCACTGTCCTAATTTACATGATTTTGCATTACAGGATCAGTCACTGATGCAAACTAAGTCTGCCTTTTTAACTTTGTCACATGTGCTTAGGAGTTTGTCCTTAAATAAAAAGAACCCCGAAAAGAAATTAACTAAATAAAAATAACGCCCCAAAACATAAAATAACGGTCGGACATTGACTCCTTTACATGCTTGCCGTAGAATGACTGAATCTATGAGTAACTGTTATTATTATTATCAACCCATCTCGATTATATTATAAGCAAATATCTTCAGCAAATACCTTGAAACATTGTAACCATGTTTTACTGTTGAACATAGACTTTTTGTCCATTGCATTTTCTCTGTTATTAGAATTGTATGAACGGGACTTGCAGTGCTACATATTTAACAGTCAAAATCAAGATCTCCAGTTATAGCTAGAGAAAGATTTAAATCGAGATTTCATGCAATTCCTAAATTCGTACGAAAATGAAACACGTCCAAGTAATACTTGGTCATGTTCCATGTTAAGCAGATTTATACTAAACGATATCATCACCACAGTTTGAAAACTTTTTACCTTTTCTTCCGTTCGATCTTTATTTCTTCTAGTTTTTAAGTTTTTATACTAAAATAATTGCTATTTTATGTTTGCCCTACAGATAACAATTTAGGCCTGAATGAGATAGTATAAATTTCCCAAACTATTAACTTTCCGGATAACTCTGAAAATATTATTTATCGATTAATATAAATAATTAATGAAACTTTAGTGGCTAGTTGGTAAAGTTAACCTGCTACTTATATCTTATCCTTATTAATTTAGCTTATATTTACATCACATATACAACACTGTTATTATGTCTTGCACAACAGAATTTTTAACTTCATTTGTAACTTTTTGCAGTCCAGAAAGCCCAATGTCTTCCAAACCATAAAAGTTTTGCATTAATTTGACATTTCGTGTTTTCAAATTTAAAAGTTTTTAAACTTGAAATGTCACGAAAAAGTATTGTCGCAAATAACAATAATTTGGTAATTATAATTAAATATGTGTTAGCAAAACAAAATGTATATCTTAGTTAGTTACGTTTCCCATGGTACTCCGTAGTTTCCAGAGGTCACTGGTGAATTTTTTAACTAATGGTACTTCCGAACTTTTTGTTTTAGGGGAACATCAAACCATGACTTTGTACAATACATATTCATCTTTACTGTAGGAGGAAAAATAATTATTCCTTAAGAATAACAGAGAGCAGATAGACATGTAAATATCTTTTATACAGAAAATGACAAAAATGTTCATTATTGTTGGATGAAATATATCGTATATCTAGATTAGTAAATTCATAGGTAATAAAAAATGTACACGAATATATCCTTCTGAAAGATGTCTAACATATTGCTAAACTTGAAAGTTGAGATGCAAATTTTCTATAAAAGTCCTAAAAAAATGCTACAAAAAATAAAACTAAAACTATCATTTTATTAAGCATAAAAGTTTACATAAACGTTTAAACTGGACAAAATGAAAGAAAATTCGAAACACTTAGCCACTTTCCGAAACTGTCCATTAGTTTCATAGTTTACAAAGAGTTTACAAAATTAGCCGCAGATGATGGAAGAATAGTAAATCTTTCAATGGCACAAATTCACAATATAGGAAAAATACTTCGAGGAATAAAACAAGCGAACAGAACAAGAAACTGAAGAATTGTTTTGTGAGAAATAACTCAATCGAGACAGACATATCCTGTGAAATAGAAAATGTGGTTGTTTCAAAATGTGAATCCATAAATTGCTATATTATTCGTTTTTCAAAATTTACGGATTTTCAATTTTTATTTATCGATTATTTCATGAAAGAGCTGAAGAATATATTATGGATAATTTGTCTGAGCAAAACGGCAAATGTTTATCATATCATTTTAAAATAAGCACGTAACCACTTTTCAGAATGAAAATGTTTTCGGAAATCTTTATATATTATGACAGTTTTCGAAAATTTAAGTTGTGTTTGTGTAATTTATTTCATAAATCTGTAAGCAGTTATCTTTCTCGTGTGAAACGGTTCTTACTTTTAAGAAACCAGAAAAAATATGATGCAATGTACTTGCCATCTGAAAACATAACAAATTCGTTATTAAATTTATTTGAAGAAGCGTGGTTAAAGATAATATAAATTTGTAATTAAAGTAAATAATAAAACCTTGAAAAGAATTTTCCTATCTACAACCAAAAATCCGCCTATTGAAACAGAGAGCGAAACTTTCCCAAATCTTTTCATGAAATTCAAAATCTGTAAGAATCATTGGCAATATTAGATGAAAGTAGTAGTGGTTTGACACATACTGATCACAAAATTAATTTCATGAGTAAATTTCAAATAAAAATTTGTTGAATGGAANCATTCAACAAATTTTTATTTGAAATTTACTCATGAAATTAATTTTGTGATCAGTATGTGTCAAACCACTACTACTGATGAATTGTATTAATTAATATAAGAAATACATACTTTTAGCTTTCGTTCCAGTTCAATGTTGCATCGAGAAAATTGTCTTATGTCTTGAAATGTATTCTCCATCTACAAGAAAAAACAAAAAATAAACGAGAAAAAAATAATAGGTGAACAGAGTGCATAGTTTCTAATTACCGTAAATGACAGTGAGCAGAGTAAGCAGCCACATGTTATGCAGATACATGTTAACATTATCATCGATAAGAACATAAAACATTTAAGGAGATAATAAAAGTCTATAAACACAAATGCATAATAAAGAAATCCTGTCATCCAAAGTATCCCAAAATAAAAAATTTCGACCACCAAACTGTAACTGTTATTAAATTGTTGCATAAAATTCCAAAGTTCTTCATGATGCAACATTAATTCGTTCAGTTTTCTTCGTAAATCTCTATCCATAACCTTTATTGAAAGCAGTTCCCGAGACAATTGTTCATATTCTTTATGAGAGATGAAAAACAGCAATGCCAACATGTATAACATAAAACCACTTCCTCCATTAAAAAAACTTGCACTTAAGCAAGCTTGGATACTACAGAAAACAGCTTCTCCAACAAATTTCTGCTTATTTTCAATATAAGGATAAACGAATGACGTGATAATAATTTGATTTAAAATAATAAATACCATTATCATTATAGATATTAATAGAGTAATATTTCTCATTAAAATGTTATTTTTACTAATCATGTTTTCGTAAAAGTACCCATTCCTTAATTTCTTTATCAAAGTGAATTTGTTGCTTTTCATGAATTTGAAAGTAAAAGAATAAGCAAAAAACACAACAGAAAACATTATTTTAAATAATGTTGGAGCAATTTCGAATACGTCAAACCAACCGATGCATATTGCATATTTATCTAATCCGGGGATTGTTTGCCATAGTAAAAGGATTGTCTGTACACTTAAAGACAGTTGGATTAATTGAATGTATCTGTTTTTCAATTTAGAATTACTAAATACTTTCATTCTATAATCACAGTTGCAAGTTTGAAATAGATCCAATCCATATATGAGGGCGGTTGTATAACAAGGACTAATAAAACAGCTCATACATATTCCTTCCACTGAATTGGAACTCATGTTTTTCGGCAAATACGTTTCACACAATGAAATATAAATGATGGCGTGATTAGAAAAGCTAGTTACGTAAACCCATTATCTGTAGAAATTCCACAGGGCAATAAAAATTCCAATAAAAATGGATGAGTCTACAATGAAATTTTATGTGATAGTTACTTAAGAAAATAATGATTAATTAGCTAAGCTCTTGCTTATCGACTTTTTGAAAACATGAAGATTACACCTAACTTTTAAATAATTATATAAGCACGAACTTGATATTCAGAGCTTTTAAGAAATTTTACTAAAAGGTATTAATATATAATTTCGTTCAAACTCTTCAGAAAATTACGAGTAATAGAATATGAAACATTTTGTAAAAATTTTGTAAAAATGCATTAAAGTGTACCAACAAGTACACTTTAATGCATTTTTACTTATAAATGTTTAGGATACACGAAATATCCCTGACCCCATTAAGACGTTTATAAGACTGTACCTTACTGACTTTTAAATCCATAGAACATGCACTGTAAACTTTTTGCATTGTGCACGTATTTTTCGAATGAAAAAATGCTAAATTCTAACAGACACCACCAGAATTCTTATGTGCATGACTGAACTGTATGTAATTTGTATGATTTGATACAATATGAAATTGTTCAATTCTTTACTATAAACAATTTTATGTACAGTAATAAAGAATTTTTAAAATGTGTTAGATTGGTCACTCGGTGTGATAAACCCTTGCGTAAGATAACCATTGTAGTTACATAAATCAAATACTATAATATAACAAACATTTAAATGAAAACCATATAAAGAGTTTGGTCATTTTAGCCTACCTTTGTCACCTTTATTGTGATACTGGGACGGTACGAATTAGTACAGTTTCATTGGTCAAGTAGACATCAATTGAAAACACGATATCTTAAAATTTTTCTAGTTATCATATTCAATTTTTTTCTCATATTCACTTAATAAACTGTACCATTCACATCCAAATATCAAATGGTAAACTGCCAGCAAATCAAATTTCTCGAGAAACAGATCAAGTATTTAAACTCGGCTCCCGAGTTTAATTAAATACTATACTTGTTTTAAGTAATTTTCCTATTCGAATGCCACCATACCGCTCGTCCGATAGAAAGAAGGGTCTGTTACGTAAGAGGATTGAAGTAATTTGACCAAAAGTCATCGTTGACCTTCTCACGAAAGAGAGGATGGTCAACGACTACTAATTAATACTGGTCTACTATTAATATTTGACAAGTGATCCGTGTTGGACAGGTCGTGATGTCTTTAACGTCCGAAAGACTTCGCTGACTTGTTAAATAAAAACATCTTATAAAAATGCCAGAATAATTGATTTTATGTGATTTTAAAGTGTTTATATATTTTTTGCAACAGATTGTATTAACTACGTGGGAAGTATGTTCACGTAAATATCGCATTTATAGAAAAATTATTAGAATTAATTTGGCTTATTTGGTTACGGCAACGCGACACATAAGCGATCTGCCATATACGTCCCAAGAAGACTTTTATGGGCAGCTGGACCTTATTTAGTCCTCCCCTTTCTCACCCGCAGAGGGAATTTCGAAAAATCCTGTTACAAGTCATTCTCTTGAAGTACCCCTTGAAACTTCAACTTTCAACAACCATTTAGGCTCTGCGTTTATTATTATTATCAACCCAACTCGATAATATAATTATATAGATCAGGCATGGCCAACATACGGACCGTCTAATGAATTTATGCGGCCCGCGATTAATCTTTTTAGATACTCAAGATAATCTTTTTAGATACATACTTCGAATAGCTCGATGAAAAATTCTGACGTCTAAAGAAAAAAAAAACAGGTCAACAACTCACCGTGCGTTTAGAATCAACCCTCCATTAGAAATCTCTTAAGTGCAGCGTAGAATGTGGATAAAGCATGTTAATATGAAAAATGTATCTGTAATCTCTATGTACAGTTTAGTCTCTACGGGGTGACACCACAATGAGATCTCGCACCACTTCAAAATCTTCCTAGGGCAGCCTCTGGTTCGGCCCGTGAAAAAAGTTTTCTTTCCAATTCGGCCCGGGGGCAAAAATCGTTGGCCACCCCTGATATAGATGATCTTGTGGCCGCTAGTGCCAGAGATCGTGAACACAGTCCAGCAACACTTAAAACGAGTTGTTGCCTGGCAACGGGAATAAAGGAAATAAAGGCGCGAAAGTTCTTTAAGTTATCCATGTGTAGCCTGAGGATGTAGATGACAGCTTTGATCTTATTTTAATAAAGTCTTTTATTACTGTTTGTGTGTGCATGCTTAGTGTTGGTATTTTAAGGATCAGTAGGATTGAATGACAAAATTTAAAAGCGTTAAAATTATTTATTTATCTTTTAAAGTCTTCATTAAGTACTTTAAAAATGCATGCATTTTATTCTTCACGGAGAACAACTTTATTTATTTATTTATTTATTTAGTATTACATAAAAAAATTGGGAAATAAATTAATTAACACTAGGAACACTGTTTTTTCAACGTTATCCGTGTTTATTGCCGAAAAGTAATGTTTCGCAAATGCTTTCAGATTTTTCAAAAACGTCTTCATCGGGTGAATGGCAAAAGAACGTCGTTCGAATGTTATAAAATTTTAAATTTTAAACGTTGGCTCATTCTAGATGGAACACGATTACGATATTTAAATTCGAATATAATGACGAATTGAATGCCGCGTAGATATCCAACTACTGTACGTAGAATCAGGATTAGCGCTACTTTACCTTACGAAAGCGATTAAATTGTAAAAGTAGCGGTCTACTTTATGTTATCTCATTAAGAATTTATACAGCGTGATCTATAGCCTTGGAAGCTCAAATGTGGGTTTATTGCAGAGTCCTCGTTTCTCGATGATCAAAGCCTCCCAGATAAAAATGGTCTTGTGTCCATACATTGCTTCAATAGGGTAGTCTCATTCCAGGCTGATATAAAATTATGCTCGATTACCTTTTTAGCTAATTCCGTGGTACCTGCTGTGACGTATGTCTTCCTGATGTTTCAATATGCGGCTATATAGTTGTGGCTACTATATAGTGGTTTAATGTTTTTTTTTTTTTTTAACTCTTTCCGCTCTGTGGGTACTAAGAGGTCCTCGTTTTAGCAAGCCCATTATGGGTTCAGCCAGGCCCACAATGGGCAGCTGGATGGTGAGAGACGGGGTACGACATATCCACTCCCCAGGAATTTTTCGACCCGTGCGGATTCGATTCCAGAGAGGTAGGCTGTTACCTTGGTCGCTCGGCCATCCGCCAATCAAGGAACAGAGGGGCTTACGACAGAAACGAATATTTTTTACCAATATCGGATCATCAAAATAATACTTTTTAAAATAAATTCGCCACATTTACATAAGTATTATTATACATATATAACGGACCGTGTATTAAAAAGTTTGGCGGTTTTTGATGGGATTGGATCGAAAATATGCCAAATTGATTATATGGCAACACTGGGCAATTGTAGCAGAGACGGGAGAAAGAGTTTCACTTCGCATTCACTTATTTGATTTATTTTAATGAGTCGTTTTGCTATTTATCCATTCGTTTTTAGACTACAGAAGAAATGTACTATGTCTAGAGGACGTATAAAATTATTTTTATAGGAATCGGTTTAAAGTTAGTTCAAGTTAAGACCTCCACAATGACTCCGACCAAAACAACAATCACTCCTTTACAGCAAATGATGTCTTCCTGCACCGGGGCCATTATTACGTCAATATTTGGTATGGTTTTCATTCATTTTAAAAAAATATTACTGTTAATTTGGTGTTTTTATGATTAAGTAAAGATCGAATGTTCAGATTATAAATCTTTCGTTTTCAACCAAAATTCGTTTGCTTACAGTGATAATCCGTATTCGCCATTCCGTATTTAAAACATTTTTCAAATTCTTGGAACGTTTAACAAAGAAAAAAAAAAAAAAGCGAATGGAATAACGGATAAAGTGACAAGCGAATTTCGGAGCTTTTATATCTTAAATATGTTCTGCAATTCGTGTTGTCGATTTTTAGAGCATTCTAATGTATATTATTATATAATTTTTCGAGTTATTTTAGCATGTGTACGTGCACGCTTAAGGGTTTTCATTGTAAAGATGAGTAGTGCTTTACTGGCTTTTATTTTGTATTTAAAAATTAACGGTTTTCTTAGCAAAAAGGTTCTAGTATTGAAATATTGAAAAGAAAGAAATGATGTTGGGAAATGAGTATTCCCACTTATGGAGCTTATTTCAGAGGTTCGTATTGAGCAAACATCCTATACACTTGAGTCCTATTCTCAATAGTTGTGGAGTATGAGCAGGGCTGTGGAGTCGCGTAAAAATCTACCGACTCCGACTTTTCCTTACCATCCGAATCCGACTCCGACCAGGGGCGGATTTGTTACCAAAAGAGACCCGGAAATTCTGATATCATCACGTGACCTCAGAATAAGATTCAATAAATAGAGTTCTAATAAAGATAGAGCGTAGAAACTTTTTATTCCAAAGCTAAAAGACTTCTCTAAGTAATATATAAATATGTATTCGATAATTTTACTTTTCCGGCTGTTATATATAACAGAGGAAAAGTGTAGCGCTCAGTCAAAAAATGACCCCTCCCAAATTTTTACATTTTTGGACTCAGGACACTGTAAAATTTCGAGATATGCAAAAATTCGAGGTTTTTCTATATGTGTGGATGTTAGACTGTGTGGGGGGCAGTGGCCTAGCATGGGTGTCAGCCGCCCGGGGCGGAGGAAAATTTCGCCGCCCCCTTATTTATGTATCTCAATTTAAAAGACTAAAATTCAGTTTCGTCACAGAATAAGTAGTGAAAAATTCCGTGCTAGTGTTGCTACCTTTTTAAAATCGCTGTCCCGGACGGCAGGTGAGGTTTGTTCAAACAGAAGTTCCTGACGCATGCGCAATGTAATTTTGCAATGCTAAGAATAACGTGCAGTGCATGCCAGTTCTAAATCAGTTACAGTTAGCAACTAGGGAGACTTGGATAGGAGTAACGCAAGTGACCTAGCTCTATTGGATTTTGGAGGTGTATGTGATTACAAATGAATCGTACAAGCAAAAAAATAAAGAAAAAAAAGGTCGACAGGTTGCTCACGATATCCCCCGATGGCCAGTCGGATGGTAACACTATTCTGTGCTCATTTCAATCGGTCTGAATTGTAGGTAAACGAAAATATGAAATAAAATGGTTCAAATTCTTACAAGATATTATTATTATTTATTGTGAAATTTTTCTGCCCTCGAAAACGTAATTTTGCCGTCTCCTAAAAAGGGCCTCCCAGGGCGGGCCGCCCCTGCCTCCCCTCCTTCGCTACGCTACTGGTGGGGGGGGCATGATTTTGTTCATTCTGTTTGAAGCCTAATAATTTCTGTGATTAGAGTGGTCAGAATCGGAGTTAGATGGTTTAACACGGGAGTTAGTTATCAAGCGTTAAAGTGGTTGAACTAAATCGTGTCCCCATATACATTCTAACATCTTAGGCGAGAACATCTTAACGGGTTTTACTGTACTATTATAAAATGGCTAAAAAGCTTACTTTGAGGGTAGAGACGAGTTTTATTTTATTTTTTTTTAATTTTGAATGCTAATAACGAGTAAAATATTCATTAAGAGATATGACACATGACCACTTTTATGTCTTCACCCTGTCGACCTTTAATTAAGAACCAAAATTTAATAGTATTAATGCCCCTTTATACGCAAGCTACAGTGCCACATTTCGTTTCTTAAACTTTACCCATTCTGAGATATTGTTTAATATCTCAGAACAGAAAATAAAGAAATTAAACAAATTAGATGTCAACATACACGCGCGCGCAAATTTTTCCCCTTTACTGACTTTTTTGAGGGTTCAGGAGGTCTCCAAACGTGTAGATTTGCAAAAACAAAAAAAACTTGGAGGGTCAAATTTGACACGATTCCAATACTTTTCCGTTTTATATACATAACAAGTTGGTAAGTAAAAAGGAGTCGGAGTCGTCTGATTTTTTGACGACTCCGACTCTGGCTAAAACACCAAAACTCCACGACTCCGACTCTGGCTAAAACACCAAAACTCCACGACTCCGACTCCACAGCCCTGAGTATGAGGGCTGTTTGGAAAGTTTGTGTCCTCAAATAGAACAACAAACAAAATAATGTTAAAACTTTTTTATTTTTCAATGTAGTCTCCTTTGTTAGCAATGTACTTATTCCAGTAATGTTCTAGCTTTTTTATGCTATCACAATAGGTCGATTTGTCAAGGTGTGCAAAATACTCGTTCACTTCAGAGATGACTTCGTCATTTGAGTGGAATCTCTTTCCAGCCAAAAATTTTTTTAGGTTTGGAAAAAGGTGGAAGTCACTGGGGGCCAAATCAAGTGAGTATGGTGGATGTGGAACTAATTGGAAGCGAAGTTCGTTTAACTTTTGCTTAGTGATTCTGGCGGAATTTGCAGATGCATTATTGTGGTGGAACAGAACATTTTTCTTCTTCAAGTGTGGCCTCTTTTCTTCAATTTCTTTCTTCAGTTTTTCCAAAAGTTCACAGTAATAGACAGCATTGATGGTCTTTCCTCTTTCTAGGTAGTCAATAAAGATGATGCCTTTAGCATCCCAAAAAACCGAGGCCATCTCTTTCCTTGCTGATGGAACTGTCTTTGCCATCTTTGGTGGTGGCGAACTGTGGTGTTTCCATTGCTTTTTGTTTCATGAGTGTAGTAATGGATCCATGTTTCGTCAGTAGTCACAAACCGACACAAGAAATCCTGTGGGTTTTTCTGGTAGAAGTCCAAAACACTCCTTTGACATCAAAGTGTGAATACGTTTTTACTTGGCGGGCAGCAGATGCAGCACCCACCTTGCTGAGACCTTCGTCATACCCAAATTTTTGGTTAGGCTGTGGTGTACTTGGTCGATAGAGATGCCTGTTGTCTCAGCTATCTCACGCATTTTCGAACAGCAATCTGCTAATACCAAATCATGAACTTTGTCAATATTTTCTTCAGTGACAGCAGTTGGCGGCCGTCCGCTGCGAGGGTCATGTTTCACACTCTCTCTGTCAGATTTAAAAAGGCTGTCCATTTTTTCACAGTGGTGTACAAAGGAGCAGACTCTGCCAAAACTTCATCCATGTCAGCTTTGATTTGAGATGGGGTGAACCCTTTTTTCGTCAGGTATTTTATGACCACACGAGTCTCTGTCTTCTTCATTTTTGACAAAGCATGTGAACACTGACTATCTGCTAAGCTGTCATGGCAAAACTTCATGACAAATCAAGCGGAAATTGGTATTGTATCTTTAGCAAAGATGGCTGAATTATTCCTGCCAAAAATTAAATTGATTGCAGCGTCGCGTATAGACAAGGCCGCAAACTTTCCGAACAGTCCTTGTAAATCACTGAAAAGCACATAGCCTTGGGTAATTTGAAAATTAAAAATAAAATTCATTTTTCTATAATAAACTTTTGTAAATATTATTATTAAAAAAAGTTGTTAAAGATTGATTTGCATCAATATATGCAAATTATGAGTTTGCAATAAATTTTCAAAAATATCTCTGTTCCTTTCAATACACTTGGTCACATGCCTATCAATGATTATTATAGCAGTTTGCATAATACAAGTAGTTCTTCACATGATTTTGTCTTTGTCTGGTACACTTCATTCAGTTTACAGAGAGTTATTCTGTAACTATTAAAAATGGGCCCAACTTCATAAGACTTTTTTTTTTTTGATTAAAATGACCTTGAAAATAATATCCTCCTGAACCATCTTATATGAAGGCTTAGGCTTCTATTTCTTCAGGGCAAAATTATCTTACAAATGTCTTCTAACTGTAACACTGTGTTGAGTAATAACTGTCCACAAAAACCTTTATCAGTGTCGCGTTCGTTACAATATCCACTAACGTTTTCGACCTCCACCAAGGTCGTCTTCAGGTGCTGACTAAGTGTTGTCGCCCGTTGATCATTAGAATGATGTCATCCGAGATGTAAATATTGCACATATCATGTTTCACCCCTCTGCTTGTGCCCGTTCAAATCTCCATGCCTGCACGATCATCTCTCCATCTTTAAAGTTGATACAGGTGCCATCAACGTTGGCTTTATAGATCTCCCAGGCCTCCAGGTGATGGATGTGATCAATTTGAAATGCCTGTCTGATTAATCTGGTGTTTGGGAAGTCCGCCTGAATTTCACGGTCACTAACGTATGCCGTCAAGGCAGTGGTGTGCCTGTTATTTTTAATTCCAATTGATGCTTGCATATCCATTTTTGTGTTGAGCGCACGGTAGAACCGATATAAAGTACAGTCGACCCCCCTATAACGTACGTTCCAATAACGACAATTCTTATAACGTAGCGAAAAAATTGTAGAAACTGTCGTATAACATACCTCCCATAACGTCGTTTCGCGACAAGATTGATAGAGTCTGGACCAATAGTGGATGAGCAGCCGAACTACTTTCCTCCGACCCTGCGCAACGCTACGGAGCGGCTAAATTGAGTTTGCTATCGTCTGTTTAGTATTATATATAAATTATATATAAATTAGGTACTGTACATATAATTATATATTAATTATATATAAATTAGGTACTGTATATATAATTATATATTAACTTAATTTATTGTAAGTTTATTATAATTATATATATGCTTTCTGCCGCCTGGCAACACGCTACGGAGATCTTAGGCTAGTAAGTTGAGTTTATTATCGTCTGCACAGTATGTAAATTA